CAAGTACTAAGATAAAAGACTTTTAAAAACTAAAAGAACTACAATTTTACTAATTTACAGTACTACTTAGTAAGAAAAAAAAAAAAAACAAGAGAGAGAGAGAGAAAGACCACAACCGCTTAATGTGGTACTAAGGTACCCTCAATCCACATTCCTATAACCTAAAAGACATAATTTGATATACGTAATTCCACGCAGTTTGATGTCACTGATGACTTGAGAACAATATTCCTGTAACCATGGAAATGTTAATATTGTTGAATGAAACGTACTGTTGCTCTCAAACATTCCAGAGAGATTGAATTTAATTTTAATACAGCCCCTCCCCAGTGGCAGGTATATAAGGCTTATAACATTAAAAACCGGGTTTCGATACCCGTGGTGGATATATCACAGATAGCCAATTGTGTAGCTTTCGACTTACCAACAAGTAAACAAAATCATATTACTACATAATGTTTCGTCACTAGGCGTGTATGTATTAAAATGAAATTTAACGAATGTGTTACAGAGCAAATGTGTGATATTTTTCTTCAGTCATATTAACTTTCACACTTTCCACAGTCAGAGTAATGCTCACCGACCTTAAGAAGAAACTTGAAATTTAACACGTGCTTGGGAAAGAAGAGTAGTGTACGAACATCACACCACTACTCTGCGTTGGATCCACATTTTAAAACTCAAGTCATATAAATTGTTAAAGGTCGTTACCGGGTCACATCATTTTATGAAGTATCGCATTTGATGTTCAATGCTACTGATGTCCGCTACTTCTTTAAGGTTTCAATATGCTGAGAACATTCCAAGGATGTAAGCCTTGTCAGCCTTTTATGTAGTGTACAACTATAAACTTCTGCTTTATGAATACAAGCTGTTTTCTCGATCAGATAATGGAGTTTATTAGATTTACTTGATTCTGGTAGAAACACTTAAAATCCACTCGATTTTCTGATACGCTGATGTTTTTAAAAGACAGAATAAAAAAAGTGAAATAAATACTATAGACCTTGACGAGTGCAATGGCTTTCTTTCTTTCAAATTCCTCAAATTGATTCTACTAAAACAGCACATTAGGGTACATGAAATATCAGCCATTTCAAGAGTCTGAAAAACCACTATAGATTTTCAATAAACATTTCCCAAACATAAGTAGCCACCAGATGGCATCAACATCCCAAGTCAGCACATTCCACGACTGGTTTAAACAAACACTATCAAATTTCGCAAACCTAATGCCATTTATTCCTTCCAGTTGCCACTAAGAAGCCACTTCTTTCTCTTGAGTTAACAAAAACAAAGTTTCTGTGGATGTATTGAAACACTCTCAAACTTTGCACACCAAATTAGGCGTGAAAACAATATTTTAAATGTTATTACCATCCGATAGATAACCCTAGACAGTTGTATATTTTGTTGAATTTCGAGGGATACTTGAGCTAGCCGTCCCTAATTTATAAGTGGTAGACTACAAGAAAGGCAGATACTCAACAGCACTCACCGCCAACTTGTAGGCTACTCTTTACCAATGAAGAGTGAGATTGACCGTCACATGTAAAGTTTAGTATACTCTAATCCCTTATAGCGATGGCACACGAGGAGACACACACATTCGGCATGTAATGCTGTTTG